CAGCTATCTCATCGTAGCATATTTATATGCATATTTATAATTATACGGTTCTTGGAGTGAGTGCATACACTCATGAAGTTTAGTAACTTCAGGTCACTGCAACAAGCCCAGGTACAGTTTACCGACGGATGGGTGCAGGACCTTGAAATGCACCGTGTAGAACGAAAGACCATCGTACGTATCATAAGTTTACCAGTCTCACAAATTGTCGTCATAAATACAGATTCCTTAACCGTTTATTAATATAACCTTTGAGCTCAACGGTAATTAATTAGTAGTGGAAATAATTTCTGGTACGCATCACAGAAATGTAGCAGTGACAATAATACTGTATGCTGTAATCGTACTGGGCAATTAGTGATACAAAAAACCTGTTTTATCCTGTGAATAAAAGTATATGTTTTTGTCATGTACCATAATAACAGAAGCGAAACACAATATTGTGTCAGGACAATTCACTATTTATGCACAATAAACAAAGGAGCGACAATTTCTGTTCAGCGCCAGACTTGCTTGTAACCTATATCACCAATTATGTTATGAAAATGACGCATTAACTACAACAGCAGACTGACCTTCGTGGAAATGCTTGGAGCAGACTAACCTGTGAGCTGGAGTGTTCTGGGACGTTATATTTGTCTTTGAATGGCTGCAATCCAGGCCATCCGTCGCCTCTTTGTTACTTCGGAAACATGGCTCGAACAATTTCTCTTCAACGACGTAATCCGATAACAACCGATCTCTTTACCCGTCGGCTTCCCGTGGCTGTCATGCGACCAAACACCCCCCGTGTCGGCTTTCCCGCATTTATATAGAGATTGAAAATGTGACGTCATTCACGGGTAGAACCGCAAAGGATTCTGGGAACTCGTGGCAAGCGGTACTAGCGCACGCAGGCTTTCAATTAAAATCAGTTATACAGCGATAAAAAGAAACACAAAAATGTCAAGAAGCTGTTGTATTATTAACTGCAATAGCCGGTCGCATGACAGCCACGGGAAGCCGACGGGTAAAGAGATCGGTTGTTATCGGATTACGTCGTTGAAGAGAAATTGTTCGAGCCATGTTTCCGAAGTAACAAAGAGGCGACGGATGGCCTGGATTGCAGCCATTCAAAGACCAAATATAACGTCCCAGAACACTCCAGCTCACATGTTAGTCTGCTCCAAGCATTCCCACAAAGGTCAGAGTTTTGTTGTAGTTAATACGTCATTTTTCTTAACATAATTGGTGATATAGGTTACAAGCAAGTCTGGCGCTGAACAGAAATTGTCGCGCTATGCTCCTTTATTTATTGTGCATAAATAGTGAATTGTCCTGACACAATATTGCGTTTCGCTTCTGTTATTATGGTACATTGACAAAAACATATACTTTTATTCACAGGATAAAACAGTTGTTTTGTATCACTAATTGCCCAGTGCGATTACAGCATACAATATTATTGTCACTGCTACATTTCTGTGATGCTACCAGAAATTATTTCCACTACTAATTAATTACCGTTGAGCTCAAAGGTCCTATTAATAAACGGTTAACGAATGTGTATTTATTGTGAGACTGGTAAACTTACCTTTGTTCGTACATGGTCTTTACTTTCTACACGGTGCATTAAACTATAATATGTATGACCGTCTGAGTCTTATATCATACATTTTTTCAAGTCAAGTCTAAAGTCATAAAATTAATGACTCGAGTCTGACTCGAGTCCAAGTCATGTGACTCGAGTCCACACCTCTGTAATGAAGTTATATATAATCCTAATAGTACTTGTTACATTCGGTGTTATTGTGGTGAATTGTGTTTTTTAGGTCTTATTCTTACATGATTATTATAACTGTTTTAACTTTAAAAGGGGTTACAGGAGATTTGTTACCAACTCAAAACTGAACCAGGAACTCACTGAAATACAGCAATGACAGTGCATCATTGGTCCGCATGGTGCAGCAACAGGAGGATACACTGAGATCCTTCAGTCTTTTGGAGGAACAGTTGACACATAACTAATGTAATAAACAGCTTTAGCAGCAGCACCTAAACTGAGGTGTGAAATTCAAACCTACAAAAGCAGAAGTTGAACATAAGAACCTAACACCATCTGAATAATGTAAGTTACAGTTCATTTGAGACTCTAAGCAAGAAGAAGATGGAATCCAAAGCGATGACTGTTACCTATAATGCTAATGTTTATGCATCTGCAGGTAAGATGTTTTTCCATCTAACTGAAGGTTATAGAAAAATTAAACTCATGTTATTAAGTATTGTACAGGAGTCAAAGCTAAAACCCTGTAATTCAATGATGTGTCTGCACATAACAGAACATGTAATGGGTTTATAGCATGGTGATTGCCAGTTCTGGATTCTAAAGGAAACAAATAATAAATTCTTTCTATGTAAATATTTTTCTGGGAAATATATTCGATGACTTTTTCCTCATTAAGCAGAGGAACCATGTTTGGGACATCACACAGGGACAAGCTAGCAGATGCAAAGAGTTGTTACAGTTTTTACACTCTGACATAATTTAATATGAAGTTTAATTTCATTCTTTTGAATTTAATCTTTGCTGTTTCAGATGAAGTTGATCAAGAGGATGTTTATGTTAACTCTGCAGTTCCCACTGTGGAGAAACACAAGCCCATGTCAGGTAGATTGTGGCTAATACATGCAGTGTGTTCATAAAGTCTAAACAATACTAAAGTACTTATAAGTAATATGAATATGAATGGTGTGTCTTATTTTTCTGTCAGATAAGAAGCGTCCCTTCATCATTCCCGACGATGTTCGACCTTTTTTACCGTTGGCGGTGTGTTGGGTGATACTTTTAATAATTTTGTTCCTTCGTATCCACTGTGAGTATAACTCAGCTCAGTGATGTATAAGCAAAGGATTAGAAAATGTACACGTACGTCGTCAGTTTATTAGGCACACCGGTTCAACTGCTTGTTAATAGAAATATTTGATCAGCTCAGTGCATTCAGGCAATTAGACGTGCGCACAGACTCTCTACGGTTTACACAGCGTGAGCTGAGAAAGATCAAATATCCAGTGAGCTTCAGTTCTTTGGATGAAAACGCCTTGCTGAGGTCAGACATCAGATGTGAATGCTTCAAGCTGACATGAAGTTAACTGTAACACAAAAAACCACTTGTCACAACCACGGTATGTGTAACCCGTGTGTGTGTGTCAGATGTGAAATGACATGACAGAAAACAGTGCGGCTCAGAGAAATTTGTGTGTCTGCACTGAAAAACAAGTAAATAAAATGAAACAATAAAAGAGGCAAATAAATTCAGGATCTCGGATTTCGTTAATTTGTAATTCCAAACAGAAATTCACAGGTCAACTTTTAAGCTCATATGCACTAAAATCATATTAACTGGCATCTATAATTGTGTTCAGCAGCCTCAGCTAAATATAGCAGCACACATTAAACTGAATTTGAAAGCAAAACCTTCACAATTTCACAAAGAAGTGATGAGCTGTGTGTGTAGTGCGTCATCACAGACAGACATGCACACACACTCAAAACAAACAGTTAAGAGATTAAAATTCAAAATAAAAGACTTACAATTAAAAAGACATGTTCTGGTGAAATTCATTTCAGCTGCTATGCATAAGAGCATCACTGAACATGTAACACGTTGAACCTTGAAGCAGATAGAAGACATTCAGATGATACTGTCTGAGTTTGGCAACATGAAAGCAGAGATTCATCCTGCGTCATATTAACAGTTCTGCTCTGCTGGTGGGGTGATGTGTGGGGGATATTGTCTTGGCACACTTTGGGATCTTTAGTGCCGACTGTCATAGAGGGCTGTGGTGGGCAAGAGTTTCACCCAAACACAGGAAGGAGAGGTGGGAGAAATAACCTTAGAGGTAGCTTTATTAGCTGTGGTGATCAACTAAAAATGAATACAAAGAAACACTAAAAGAAACAAGCAAAAGATAAACTAGAAACTAAAACTCTTCCAAACAAGGAACTCATGACTTGGCATAAACGAGAGAAAACGGAACACATGAGAACACACAGCTAATGTGGACGACACGACAGGACTTACACAGAGGATAACGGGGGGATGGGAAACACAGCTGGAGCTAATCAGACACAACGAGAACTGGAGGAAGCAAAACTGACCACGCTGAACGCAGGACTAGGGATTTTCAAAATAAAATAGGAAAATTGAGAAGCACACTAAGACATAGACAGATTACAGGGAACATTATGTTTGTATGTGTATAAATTCACTCTTACCTTTTTCCATAATATAGAGTTAGTGTAGGATTAGTGTTAGGATATTACCTATGATTATTTAAACAACATAGACATATATAAGCTGAACAGTGAAAAGGATGTGAGTGATTACATTTTACTACTAAAATACTCTGGCTTCCTCCCACAGTCCAAAGAAATGCAATTAGTGGGGATGGTTAATTGGAAACTCTAAATTCCCCATAAGAGTGAATTTGGGTGCGTGTGAGTGCGAATGGTTGTCTGTGTCTATGTGTTGGCGCCGCGACAGAACTTTCTTAGTAATGCACTACAAAAGTAGTCTTTAAGCTATAGTTCTTATTGTATGTACAGTATATTTCATTTTGATAGGCAAACACTTTACTTCTTTTTACATTCTAGTTACCTCTGTCATTTCTGCCAAACTGAATCACAACCTCCAGGAAGTAATCAGTCTCAATGAAAACTGGAAGCAGGACCGGCATGGTCTGAATGTCCAGATATACAACATGAGAGAAGCTCAATCTTCGTTGGGGGACAACTTCAGAAACCTGAAAGATGAAAACGATCAACTGAAGAGAAAAATTCAGAAGCTAAGCGCAGAGAAGCAGTCCATGAGTGAAGAAGTTCAGCGGCTGAAAGCAGAGAAGCAGTCCATGAGTGAAGAAGTTCAGCGGCTGAAAGCAGAGAAGCAGTCCATGAGTGAAGAAGTTCAGCGGTGAAAGCAGAGAAGCAGAGAATCAGTACAAACAGTCTGAGTGAAGAAGTTCAGCAGCTGAAAGCAGAGAAGCAGTCCATGAGTGAAGAAGTTCAGCGGCTGAAAGCAGAGAAGCAGCAACTGAACAAAACATATGAATACACTACTGCAATCCCAACGGTGACAATGTGGAACACAACGAGTGATATAACTGTTCATAACAGTTCTATTTCATGGATGTGGATGTCCCACTATCGCCGAAGTATGACAACCTTTCCTACTTCTCCTGCAAATATGGCTAATTCTATCACAATACATTAATGCGGTATGATAGCTGGTCTCTTGTTTCAGGGAGGCAGCTTGAGCCTTGCCAGAGAGGATGGCTCCAATTCAAGTCCAGCTGCTACGTGACCAGTAACCATGACTCTCTGGATCAGAAGACCTGGGAAGGAGCTCGAGATGACTGCAGAGGAAGGAATTCAGAATTGGTTGTTATAGAAAGTCCAGAGGAACAGGTAAGACCTGGAACTTTGAGACCTCCAACATGCATACTGGTTAAATGAACCACTTTAACTGGCTTGAATGAATGCAGACCTCAAAGGCTTGGTCCTAATAAGCTTTTTTCTGCCTCTTGTATTTGTGATATTGTTTTGGTCAATAATCACTTAATAATGTCATAAATCTGTGTAGGACTGATCAATAAATCAACATTTTCTCCCACAATGAGGAGCTTACCAAAATTCCTAATAATACCACAAGATACTTGAACTTGAGACAGCAGTTCATCCCAAAATTGAACAAGAGTGAAATCTTAAGTTGGGTGTATTATAGATTAAAGGCTGTCAGTCATAAACATATCTGATCTCTTTCTGTGATACTCAGGACTTCGTCTATAGCAGCTTAATTCGGTTGGGAGCCAGTGACTACTGGACTGGCTTGAGGGTCAAAAGTGGCAGCTGGAACTGGGTTGATGGACGTAATCTGACTAAGCAGTAAGACATATTTCTTAATCCAAAGAATTATGAGCTATATCCGTCATGATCTAACCAGCGTATTGTTTTTCCAGCTACTGGATACAACCACCAGCTGACAACGAGGGCTGTGTGATTTCTGTCAGAGGGACCAGTGGGTGGAAAGCTGTGAGCTGTGACATCAAAAATTCTTGGATATGTGAACAGGGCGCTCTGTCTGGTTAAATATTTCTCCTAAACCAGAGCATATAAGGGTATTTACTCTATATAAGGCAATACTGATTGACTCAAACATACTGCACAGAAATATGAAGATATATGCTTTGATATTTAATCGTAATATATGAAAGATGATTTGAATCCTTTATAGAAACTGTACTCTGTCTATTAATAAAACATGATTTTTATTTCATAAGTATATGCTAATATATTGTTTGAATTATATACATGTAACTGTATTTTTTCCTGATTGCCATTTAATGGCACTTGGAGGATAATGCCTGATGACTTGCGTTTGTGCTTTCAGCCTATATTCGTTATTCCTTGAAGATTTCTCAGGCAGAGACACTGAACAATCTGTGAGGAATACCAGTTTAATCCCGTTTACCTGTGAATAAGGCTAGATCTGCAAGGTCATAATACAATGGGAGAGAGAGTTTGGCAAGAGACACATTTTTTTTTTTCGTTTTTGGAATTTTGGGGCATTTTAAGTTGGCAGATTAATCTGTTTCTTAAAATAAAAAATTCTCATATTTTGTTCCTCTTCTTTGTCTTGGTTTTGTCTTTTTGATTGTGTAACACCACAGACACACAATATATCTTAATTTTTAGACTTCCTGTCACTCTGCTATTAAAAAACCAAGGCATTTGAAGAAAAGGCCAAAATTAGGTAGCATCTCAAAGCATAATTAGGAACCTTTGAAATAGAGCAGAGACTGATGATGCATGCATCGTGGATCACAACAGGGCCACAAAAAGACCGCGACTCTCTGGTTTAGAAGACCTGGGAAGGAGCTCGAGATGACTGCAGAGGAAGGAATTCAGAATTGGTTGTTATAGAAAGTCCAGAGGAACAGGTAAGACCTGGAACTTGGTTCACAAGTATCCAATCACAAATGGCAAAACTCAGTTAATGTAATCCTAAACAGATACAGGCTAGGTAAAGCAAATCAGTCTGATCATAATAGAGGAAACATTCACATCTCTGTGGAAATATGTCCCATATATGTTTATGGGCAGAGGTTCCCAAAGTGTGGGGCCCGCCCCTAAGGGGGAGGCACAGAGCTATTGCAAAGGGAAAAAGAAAAAAAAAAGTTCGGACACTGCTAGCATAATTGACAGGTTTTTGACGGGGCGTCCACACAAACGCAAAGCAGGAGATGAAGCATCGCCAAATATGTTTCCAAACCAACTTCTTTCCAAGCCAAAGAATAAAAAATATGGTGACGCAAATCTTCCTTTGGCTTCACCTGCACAAGTGCCGAGGTAAGTCTCCTCAGCAAATTGGTTTTCCCTGTGTCGGGAGCAGCGCTGGGCTCTCCAAATCACAGACAAACAGTATCCTACATCCGACAAAACAGTATTTTGTCTCTATCTGCCATTCTGCAATTCATCTCCTGTAAACAATAACGTGGCGCACAGCGTGACGTGAAAAAAGGCACATACCTTTGACGTTGCGTGACGAACTCTGTATTCCTCGTCCACACGTAAACGCAAAAAAGGAGTTTTAAAAAATCTCAGTTTTTGGTGATTCGAAACACCGTTTACGTGTGGACGAAAGGCCCAAATGCATAGAAACAGCTGCGTGTTCAAAAATACCCGTGTAGGTATGGACGTAGCATAAAAGAGTTAGTAGTGTATTTTATTACTACCTGTAACTTATTGCAGGTTACTTGTATTTGCTTAATTTTCCGGGGCGGGAACATTTTTCTTATAAAAGAAAGGGGGGCCTAGCAAAAAGAGTTTGGGAACCACTGTTTTAGTGTAACTTTTAAATTGCTAATGGAGAAAGGGGCAGATCATTTAGATGAAGGTCACGTAAAGCACTGAGGTTGTGCTCGGTGCGTTAGGCCTAATAAAACATTACACACACCTGCCGTTGCAAACTCAAACCATCTACTGCATGACTGGGTTTGGATCTCAGGGTAAGCAGTCTAAGTAAAACTACCTGGACCTATTTATCCCCAACCACTGCCTTTACATCAGGGGTCGGTAACCCTGGGCACAAAGGGTTAACTGAAGGCACGACACGCAGTGAATTAATCTGAGAAGGGGCATTAAAAAATAAATGGCCAGGCCAGCGGTGCACATCGCAAATTAGCTGTGCGCCTTTTTTGACGTCACACTGTGCGCCACGTTATTGTTTCTCTGAAATCAATTTCTACAATGACGGACTTAGACAAAATACTGTTACTGTTAATTTTACTCTCTGCAGTGTTTAAATACTTACATATAGACACACACAGTTACTGTCCTCCACACATAGGACTCAGTTCTGCTTCTATGCGCCATCTTTGTTTACTCTTTCCCCCCCAGGCTTCCAGACTTCTGATTGGCCAACATTTCTACATGGTTAGGAATATATCGCCACCTGTTGTTTTGGCATGTTCATAGCAGCGTTTTTCTTCGTTTTTGGCGTTTATGTGTGGACGGGATTTAAAAAAAAAAACAAAAACGGAAAATCTCAGTTTTCAAAAATACTCGTGTACATGTGGACGTAGCCTTAGCTAACGACCCCAACTACCAGATTCAACTTGTAATTGGCTAAAAATAACTTAGCCTACCGGTGAGAGGGACGTTGCTAGCTGGCAGTTGAAATTTCCACATTCCGACACTTCAAAAGCTTCAGGAGCTGTCCGCTCAGCACAGCATCAGCACCGCAGAAATACACAGATACATCTGTAGACTCGAGACAGCATTCACAATGCTTTTTCGGGGCTTTCAGGTGTTTGGACCAATGTTTTCTTTACTGATCAAACCAGAAAGCTTTAATGAGCAGCCGGATTTGCCTTGCATTAACTGGCTGGACACAGAGGACATCGAAATGCAGCTGATTGAAATGAAAACCTCGACTCTGTGGGGTCAAAGTTTGCAGAACTACGAATGAAGCTGGTATCCATAGTTGTGCATGTTCATGGAGCTGCATTTTCACCTGCTGGACATCACTACCTGACAAGTTTAACTGTCTTCAGAACGTTGCAGAGGCCTTATTGACAGTATTTGGCTCTACATATCTGTGTGAGCATATTTTCTCTCACATGAGTCCTCAGGTAGCCGTCTGAATGCTGGACACTCGGAGACCTGTGTCTCTGAGTGGGAGACCAGAGATCATATTAACATGTGTGTCTCTGTATTAACAAACATGCCATATTGGCCCAGTTTATTCTTCTTATCATTGTTGTTCACTGCTAATAATGAGCGTTATTAAATTTATTGCTAATGCAATCATATGGCACATTGGCTTCTGAGGAAATTTTAGATGGCACTCATCAGAAAGGTTGCCGACCCCTACTTTAGATCTTCCAAGGAATATTGTGTTTTCCCAAACCAGTTGTGGTCCGTGATCTTGATCCGTTCCTTGGTTTGACAGATCTGTAACGTCTCACCTGGAGGCAGCCAAGAAGGACCTTAGTTAGATGCTTCTTGACTTGTTAAATGTAATGTTATTTTAATATTCATGTGAGGGGAAAGAGTAGAAACCAAGATATACTGAATGTCTATAAAATTCCAATGTAATAAAGAAACCACAGCATGATATTAAAAAATGTACTGCAGTGGTCTACTGTCTGCTGCTCCATTGTCCTACTCTTACTGTGAGCAAGCCAAAGTTCAGCCATTGACCTTATGAACGACTCCACCTTCATTTAAGGACTATAATCTGTAGTCCTTTTCACATCTGTCTTAAACTGATTTTCCTGGTCTGGGTCTTAAGGGCAGTAGTCTAGACAAAGATGCAAAGATGAAATTAAAAACCATGCCGTCTTTCAATCTCACGTTTCATTAATCCCCCCAAACGACCTCAAGTCTTTGAACTCCTTTACTTGAGCTGAGTTGATGATGGAGATATGACTGAATAGTACGACATACTTCTTAATTGAAATAATTATGAACTCTATCTTCCATGATCTAACCACTATACTGTTTTCTCAGCTCAGGATGCAATCACCTGCTGATAACCAGCACTGTGTGATTTCTGTCAAAGAAACCAAAGCGTGGAAAGCTGTGAGCTGAAACCCGAGAATGTAACAGGATTTATTCCACATACATCAACGCACACCATCCATCCTTCTTCTGCTTATCCTTATCAGAGTCATGGGGGGGCTGGAGTTGGAGCCTATCCTAGCTACCATAGGTCAGATTGTAGCTGGGAAGCATTACTTGTCTTTCTTTTGCAGCAACTAGTTATTAAACTACTGTTATTAAACTAGTTCTTTAACTAGTTTCCTCAGCTTGTTGCTACTGATACTGCTGCTGCAACAGAGTCCATGGAAACCTTTTTTTAATGCACTGGTGACCGTTTTAGCACTGGTTGAACATTTGTGCAGTTCCTCTTCAAGCTAGTTAAAGAAAAACAGTTGATAAAAATCTCTCTGGGATGATAAAATCCTGAACTAGAAGTCTTCAAAGATCAGTGGATGATATCAAGGAAATCATGGAATAAAGGCTCAAATGGATTTCCTGTATCCGTGTGCACACATGTTCAAACTCTCCTATAGGGAGAAAGCATGTGTGTGTTCTCAGCAATGAAAACAAAGAATCAGCTCTGCTTCTTAACCTGCACTTTACTGTGTTTGTGTAAACACACAGAGGAAGAGATAATACACTGTTATAGACCGGGAAGATGAAAATAGGCTGGGTTGTTCACTGGTAGTTGCATGTGTGCTGATGCAGGTACTCAAGACTGTTTTCAGCTTTGTGCATGTCTCTCCTTGCAGTTCACATGATGCCTTTCATAGGAGCTGTCCTGTACACATGAAGAGTATGTGTGGATAAACAGAAAAGGGAAACTGATGGGAGACCAGCATGTCCTATTGTACTAACAGATTATAGGTTTTCTCATTGGCCAACGTGTGTTTGATGTAGATGAGTTATGTCTGGTTTGATAAAACAGTACAGGCTCCAGATTAGCATCTATGAGAAACCAGTTAACCAGCTGTTTTGCTACTAATATTCCATTTTCATTAATTGTCACACTATTAATTAATAACCAGTCCCCATCTTATCTTAATGACCTTGTAGTACCATATCACCCCATTAGAGCACTTTGTTCTCACACTGCAGGCCTACTTTAGTTACGCTGCAACAGGCCTAAGCTGCTGGGGATCTTCTGATGATGCACTCACAGGGACTCGTCTGCTTTTTTAGGTTTTCTGTGTATTATTTTACTTTTATTACAATTTAAAGCAACTTCATGTGACTGTTGTTGTGATTTGGTGATATATATGAAACTGAATTAAATTATCACCAGCTTAGCTGTTGCCTCAGTAACAAACTGTCCTATGACAGCACTCCAGTGTTTACTCCATGTCCCTGAAATCATACTTTAGTTCCATTCACCAGTTCAGTCTTTGTTAAGAGTGACTAGAAATTTGGTAACAAAAGTTCCACTTTTTGTTGTACTGGTAGAACTAAAAAACTTACTAGTCTGTCTAGTAAGCAACTTGTGAGCCTTTTTAAAAATGAATTTTTCAACGAGCATGTTAGCGAGAAAA